AAAGAAAAAAAAAAAAAAGAACATAAAACAAAATAGCACTCTACGGATAGTACACCCTAACTAAAGAAAATCACCACCTCATGCAAGACACCCTAACCCAGCTAACAGATGTAGGTACACATATAATTGCCTAGACACGTGTATTCTATTCAATCTACTATGCAAAGACTGAAATATACCATTTCTTACAAGTAGCCCCCAGCAATAAGATGATACAAATCCAAGTCGATTCGGCAAGAAATAGAGCTTGATATTTCCTGGATCTGGTCTAATGCTTGTTTTGTAGGGAGAGCGTTGGTGATCGTTGGCTTTGGATTATATGTAGGCACATGCTTGAGGAGGGCATGTATGGTGCTGGATGAACTGGTCATTATCGGGGGAGATGTCTGGGGTCCATTGTATAAGGGAGCTGGGTGGTTGTGTGAGGGTCCATTCAGGAGGTAAGTAGTCCCAGATTCTCAGTCCTGGGGTGTGGTTTCTAGTGTGGCATTGTGGTGGTTTGGTTGTTGAAGCAATGTATCTTGAAAAGAATGAGTTCGGGAATGAGACTAATATATTGTACAGCGGAGGGTGTTGCAGGTATGCTAGTGCTATTGATATGATGACTGTGGTTTGATCAGATACAACTTGGGTGATAAGCTTCCCAGGCTGGTGATTGTTGGGGTTCAGACGGCTGCTTCTGTTGGCGAATGGCCGGTAGTTGTGCTGCGTTGTCTGTCATCTTGCCGCACTTTACGCAGGGGGTTTGTTTAACATCGGAGTAGGATGATATCATGTCCTAGTCCTGGTTAGCTTGTCTACGAGGGGTTGATGGGGAAAATTCACGTACAAGAAGATAGGCGAGATCCCATTGTCGCGAACGAGAGTTCAAACAATCGGATGCCGCGCTCTCGAGTTTCGTCTTAGCCTGACCAGGCATCGTTCGGCTCGAGACCTGCCATTCGGGCACGCCGTTCACCTCTGATCCACCGACCGTATGTACCTTGAATGTCATACCGGCCTTCGGTAGGACAACAGTGACGGCTGTCTCAGAATTACTCGGCAAGACTCGCACTCCAGGAACATTTTTCTGGATGAAGCTGTCGACAATCGCCCTCCAACCCCCTTCAGTCGACTGGATCTTCGAGCGCTCGAGCTCCTCCTCAGATTTCCGCTGCTGCTCCACCCTGGCCGTTTCCTCCTTGACAAGTTCTTCAAGGAGAGCACCATAATTCCGATCCCAAACACCTGTCGGTTGCAATAATTGCCCGCCATTTTCCTTGATCTGGGCATCGACATGCCCCCACACAGCGTTCATTTCAGGGCTGCGCCACATGTTCTGAAACTCCGCCACCTCGGCGACACCAGCCTTCGCAGCCTGCGAAAGCTGCTCATACAGCATCTGCGGCGACCTTGGTACAGCCCTCCCCGCCGCAGCCTTTGGATTTACAATAGGCACCAAAGGCTCCAATAAACGGTCCGGGAGCAGTGTCCGCAGTTGGTGAATCTGGCATCGCACATTAGCCATGTATACCCAAGGATGAGCGGGATGCTAAGAAGACAAACCATAGCCTCCAATTCCTGGAGCTTTGCGAGAGATGATACAAGCTGCATTTCCGAGTCCGAGACCTGCTTGGTTGCATTTGTATCTTGTTTAATTGCCGGTGATGATGTGGCGTTGACAGTTATGTTGTCACCCTCTGGCTTGCTGGCATTGGTCTGGTTTGTATTGCTATTGTTTGGCTTTGTTTCTGAGACCCCCGGAAGGCCTTGTTTAGATGGGAACTCCATCTTGGGTACCACAACTGACATCGTGGGGACTTTCGGGGCAGCTTGTGAGTTGCTGGCCATTGACACTGGGGAGCAATGGAATTTGAAAATAAATTTCAATCCACGCGACACGCGTCCTTGTGTACAGTAGCTTTTGAGAGAAAAAGATCCGAACAGAAAGAACGATGGGGTCAGCCCAATTGAAGTGAATGTAGTGATCGCGATATTCAAATGTGTAATTCAATACTCAATCAGATTCGGAGCTTGACTGAACTAGACAAATCTTCAATAAATTAACGATACTGCGACAAATGTGAATGCTATTTTCTTTCCTATTCACTTTTGGTGAGATTCGAGGATGTGATTTAAAGCTTCAAACGGCCGAATCAATGGGCGATATTCATCCAGCGATCGGACCGAAGCGCGCCACATGATACACCAGCCACATGTGGCTTGGATTTCCCTGGACATTCTGCGGATCTTTTGATGCCTCAGGCGGAAAGATTGTATACGAATTAGAGCTTTGATACTCGATTGAGTTTATTTACTGAGGTCTGTTCTAAAAAACATTCTCTATTACTGGAATTGTCTCGCAAGAGTGGAGTAGTCTAGCGTAAATAAAATCCGGTGACGTCCACTAATAAATAACATACACCCTAAACCGACCTCTATCCAAGGCCTGCCATCATGTACAGTCATAATCATTAAGGCATACCAATATTACGTAAGATCTCGTTCTCTTAGCATTTCTGCGCCGAGGAAGACAGTCTGACCTTCACACCCCGATCATGAGACATGGTGAGGGTAGACAGGATCACGGGCTGTTTCAACTCTGGGTCGGCGCACTCGAGGGTGTCAAAGCGTTGGACTAACCTGACAAGGGTATAGCTTGCTTCTGTGAGTGCGTATTGCTCTGTATTCTTTAGTTAGAGCTTCTCTTGACATGGGGATAACTAGATATATAACTTACGACCAAGGCAGATCCGAGGGCCTCCGTTGAATGGAAGATAGTCCCAACCGCGTCTGCCATTTTCCTCCCAGCGTTCTGGTCGGAACGAATGGGAATCGGGTCCATAAAAGTCTGTACGGCGGTGCATAGCGTAGACACTGTATGCGACAACCTGTCCCTTTGGAACAAAGATTGGGGATTTTCCATCAGGGCCACCTCCAACTGGTAGAGAAGTGTCCTTGGCAGCAACACGGAAATTCAGAGGAACGGGGGGCAATAGTCGGAGAACTATTCTTGTCAGCTCTGTAGACTACGGCTAAAAAAGAGGCAGAAGTACATACCCTCGTTCAACACATATCGCAAATATGGGATATCCTTGAGTTTTGCTTGTGTAATTTCTCCCTTTGGGTTTTGGCTATCTCCAAACTCGTCGATGATGGTTTGTCGCAACCTTTTCCAAACTTCCTGGTTGCGTGACAAGTAGAAGAATGTAGAACTGAGCAGACTAGCCGTGGTATCACGACCAGCCACGAGAATGTTGAGCATATTATCTCTCAGCACCTTTGGATCATCGTTATCTGCAGCCAAGGCCTCCGCAAAAATATATCTATCGGACTTTTTGTCCGGATTGTTCTTGGATTGAATAGCAAGCTGGACATAATGATCAACGACCTCGTGGACGCGCTTATTGGCTTCACGGAACTCTTTAGGATTGACCATCCAGTAGAAATGCATAGCACGCGAGCGGTGTGTCAGGTAATCTTGGGCAGTACCGAATGCCTCTGCGAATCCTTGTGCATTTCCGACGGATGATTTTCCTAAGAGACTCTCGCTGTTGGAAGATTCCAAAGCGCCTACCGATTCTCCAAACAGGAAATGCGTGGCCGAGTCGATTGTTAGAAGGAAAAACAGACGTTGAATGTCAAAACTCGAACCATCCTGGGGAATGAGATCAATCAGGCGGGAGATATGACCGTCCATGAGCTCTAGGTCAGCCACCTAAGGAAGTCAGCAACCATATCCTCACGTAATCAAGGGTTTGTCTGTACCTGGTCCCGCGTGAATTGAGGCCGTAGCAGCCCACGTGCATGAGACCAGCCGGCACCATCAAGAGTAAAGATTCCGTCCCCAAGTAAAGGGTAGAATTCACGGTGTCTGGTTCCCAGGGCGAAATCGTTGAATTGGGTTGCCAACAGAGCTTTGATATTCTCCGGCTCAATGGTAGACACCATCCATTTACCTAGAGCCTTCTGGGTATAAGTGTTTCCGAACCGCCCATACTGCCCGGCAAGATATTCAACCCATCGTTTGTGCCTGACTTCATTGAGCAACCGTACAAATGCTCGGATTCCAAAGATGCCTGATGTCCCTTGAGGAGCAGGCTGACATCCAAGAGATTGAGCTCGCTTGCGCTGCTGATACAGTCGCTGGAGGTACTGTAGAACTAGGAAGGTAATGGACAGGGCACCAAAAAGCGGAGCAATTTGGGCCAGCATGATGCCAACAGAGAGTTACAGTTTGCGGAAGTAGGGCTGTATATGTACCGCTAAGTGATGTGAATATGACACGAATGAGAGCCTGGGGATGGTGCCCGGGCGGGTGAGAGGACGGTACTTATACATCGATTGACTGAAAGCACATGTGTACGGATGACTTGAAACATTGAATAATATATACAGGAAAGTTCATCACGACCGAAGACCGAGCACGAGGGAGATCAGACTGAGGCATAATCCAGGCACATGATTTGCTGGGTCATCGCAAGCATCTCCTGAAGAGGTTAGCTTGAAAGTCCAGGAAACTGAGTTATTGCTCGGCCCTCGGGGGCGGGAGAACTTGAACTTCATCCACTCCACGCTTGGGATCTTCCTCGTTTTCCCCACATCACCGCCCCCTTTGTTAACTCCGCTTCTGTCACGTTCACCTTGGAAGCATTGGGGCTTGAAGGCTTGAAACATGGTAACCATTTTGTCAATGCTTCCTTGAACAGCTCTCGTGCCGCCTTTCCTTCCGTGGATAAGCCTTGGAAATCATAGCAATGTTCAGACTGTTTGAGAAGGTATCCGAACACTTTGTCTTCACTCGTCTCGCCACAGTTCGGGATCTCGGTAGAGAACGTCATTCCATCGGGCGCAACCCCAGGCGCAATATCTTCAGCGGTCAGCATAGACAACGTCCTCCATGGATCAAACTCTCCGCCAGTGAAGAACGTATTGGAGGGTCGGATATGCCAGCCTCCGTACTTTTTGTTGAGGGCTTCTGTCTGTGGGCGTGATGGCAGCATGCCGTTTCCGACCGCCTGTGCGAACTGGTTATTGCATATTTCCTGCTGATACTCCAAGGTCTGATAGCGGGAAAGCAGTGAATGAGGGCCAAAATTGTTGCTTTGATAGAATCCCCACTCGGTGCAGTACTGCCAAGTCCAGCTGATAGAATCAGGGTCATTGTACACCACACCCAGCTTACAAGACGGCGTAGCAGGATCACTAAGTCCTCTGCAGTTGGTCTCCATAATATTATTAACCAATGGCGTGAATGCTGGCCATGCAGCCCAACGTTCAGCCACATACTTACTTCCACGGACTGGAGCGAAGCCATCGGGGCCTGCCGCCTCCTGCGTTGTGGGATCCACTTCAAGATGATTGCAGAGTTCGCGCAGACTTCCTTCTGGACCGTCAAGGGCATAGTTCTGGAAATAATTATAGATAGTCGCCAAAGCTGCGGTGAAGCCTTCATTGCTGTTCTGCTCAGCTCCAGGGCCAAAAAACAGCGTTTTGATAGCAGCAGCGGTGTGATTGTTTGATAGTTGCTCATCTATATAACCTAGAGCTGCATGGATATCCTTAGCACAATTTTCAAAACCATGGCCGACCAAACCACGGTAGACTTGGTCGTAGTACACGCTCATATTCAATTGTGCTTGGACCGGAGCAGAAGAAGAATAAGCAGCAAAGATAACGTCTGGGTACTCGTTGCGGGCAAAAGCAGCCCGAATCCCACCATATGAACCTCCAACGAGGACCCAGGGTGTGGAGCTGGGAGTGAGATCAAGGTCGGCGAACTTCGGGCGGCTGAAATTCTGCGCAAAGTACGGGATGTCATCAAGGGCTTGTTTGGTCGTAAGGTATTTAAAATGCTCAGGTGGTGTATCCCTGCTGATTGGAAATGGAGTCGAGTTTCCGTAATATCTACATGCCGTTAGCTGTCTGGGCGATATATAGTAATCAAGAGAAAAACAAACCTATGTTCCCATATAATACCCATGGCGTGAGTCTCCTCAAGCATTTTCTTGAAAAATGAGAAACTCGATGTCAAGTGGTTTTTGGCAATACTCTCTGCGTTTGTTTCCCCGGCGTCGTAAATGATGATCGGACGCCCAGCCTCGTAGTAGTCATCATTCACCCAGAACCGATTTCGGTAGGTGCCAACAGAAGCATCATTATGGTCGATAGGAATCTAAAAGCGTACTTAGCTATGGATTCTAAAGAGCCATGAAACAGGAGAGCTTAAACATACCGTGATGTACTCGGTGGTGACCGTCTCACTTTCACTTTTGGCCTTGGCGAGCGCTGAATGTACAGTATTTTTGTTGGAGAGTAACTTGGGATCCAAGTTCAACTCAGCAGCCAACCGCAGCTCTCGCATATACCTAGATCCTCCAAACAGCCCCAAGCCCACAACGGGGCCAGCCAATATAGCAAGGCTAGATAATATTAGAAAGAAGTCAAGACGCATCTTGGTCTGAAAAGACAGTGACTTTTCGTGCCCGCACGTGCACAAAATAAGAAATAAACGAAGGGTATCTCAAGGAGAAAGAGTACAGATAACTTACCAGACATAGGGAAGGAGGGCACCCGTGCCTGTTATATGTATGCGCAATGATCGATACTCTTGCCGGACGGCTGCGTCAACGAGAGAATCCAAGCCTTGGCCCGGTCGGCCGACTCAATGTACGTTCCTCATGGCGTATCAGCATAGGCCTGTTAGGATTACATGGTATGCGGTAGGCTTGTATAACGTGAATGATATGTCTGAGTACGTCGAGTTGGACAACATGTTACCCAATGCGGAAATGAGGTTGCTGGAGAAGAATCCAGATTGGATGGCTTCGGCCATCGGCCCGGTGGACAGACGCCAACGCCTCTAAGTTCGGCGTTTGGCAGTGCACATGGCGCCAAGAGCCCTGTCGATCGTTCACGATTCGGGAATGTCATGAATGCCCCAACCACCAAATAAGATCGCCACATGACTGAAAACGGTGCCTGTCTTTCTATAGCTGAACGGAATCAACAAAAGCAAATCCAATTCACTTTCAAGTTTAGCAACCAGTGAGACAGTAGTAATGCAGCCACCAAATTGCCGTGAACATTGAATGCCTGATGGCTTCAATCTTGGAACCTTCATTCCGTTGGCCTTGGGATAGTATTTTAGTAAAAGATAGCGTCAAGGGGGTTAGCTAGTTTTGGGGCTTGGAAGAGGGATAATATGTTTGATCCAGCAGCTCATTTCAGAGATTCTCCCATATATCTCTCCCGAGTAGATATTTTAAATGGAGTTAATCAATGAACTTTTATGTACCAAGGGATGTAGATGCAATAAATATACTGCGCAGGGGTGAAAAAAAAAATAAAATAAAATAAAATAAAAAAGCACACCTGGGGCAGATGCCATCCTCTGGTGTTTCAAGCTAGCAAGTAGCGGATGGCTAGCTTCTACAACGCCTACAACGCGCAAATTTATGTGCCTGAGTGTTTCGGCCCTCAAGGACAGTCAGCCGCCACATGTAACAAATGTTGACACTGCCCATATGCCCAGAAATGGTAGACACACAATAATTTCTATTCAGGACCGCATTTCACATATGGTCCATGCCTGTTGCTAATGCCTTACCCCCCTTTTCTTTTTGGAGCCCGCAGGCTAAAACCATAGCAACTTAGAAGTGGACAAATAATAAACACGCAGATACCATATATGGCGGGTATATTGCAGTTACAGATCACACAATCCCAATTTCTTTTCTAGCGAATGAGTTGGTATCCACCCGTTTAGTCTTTGATACATGTTTTCAGACCTGCGTCGAAAACTAGAAGCATTACTTAGAAGTGACACACTCAATGCGACAAGGTATTATGTCAATGGCACAAAACAGACCTTTAAAAGTTCCCATTTATATGCAAACATCCTTAGAGTTAACCTTGTACAAACATGGGTTGACAAACTACTCTTAAGATTGAAGCCCTAGCGTACATCTCAAGCCGTGCTTTGGCTCAGCTCACAGATCAAAGCCATTCTTGAGGACCATAATCAGCTCTCACTGTCTTCACGAGACCGACCTGAGGATAGTAATGCGTAAGCGCCCTGAGGTTGTTCAGTGCGCCGAAGGCTGTAAGTGGGATGGGGCTGAGGTGGTACGAGGAAGCATCCATACGCGCGATGAGCACTTCAGCCATCGTTAAGGCGACCCGTGACCATGTTCAGGTGACAATTTTTGTTTGATAGCACAACAACTGCCACAACATGGATACCCTTGAGACATGAACGCCAACCGTGAACTATTGATAAACCACGGTTCGGTTGTATTTAACAACCAAGTCTTGCAAAGGTTTTCTTTTTAGTGTGCATAGATCCTTTGACATTCAGTGGAATGCATTTGATGGGCAGTGAGGTGTCATTTCAGGATACGACCTTGTCGTCTTAATTCAAGCATCAATAGCCAAATAAACCTCAGGTTCGAAGACCGTCTCAACTTACGCATCGCAGAAGATGGCCAAAAGCAGCACAGCCTTAGTCAATGTCTTGTCTAGAAACCGACCCTAGTCTATGTCTTGGCGACATGCCATCTACCATTGGCTGCCTCATACTGCAGAGGAGATCCATGTGGTAAAGCTGAAGAATCCTCCTGATACACTCTGGTTTCCATTTCTGGAGAAGCATTTCTTTTAGGGTCATGCCAAGGCGATGTTCCACATAAGGCTTTTCGGCACATTTTGGCACAAGAACGGATGGATCACACCATCGAATACCTGATTGATGGAGATAGTATATGGCCCCACTGCACTAACATGGGACTGATGCACCAGGTGTCCCAAATTCGCAAGTTTGAAATCGGAACTCCGCATGGATTCATCACGAAGTCCACCAGTGAAGAACAGGAATATGGCCATTTGTCCGACAGGATTTAACCTGTTAATTGAACTCGCATGCGATCATCACATCACTTCGGGTGCTCGCTATAAAGGCATCCGAAGTTTTTTCTTTTGCAAAGCGGCCGGACAACACCAAAGTGCTGTTCTTGCTGAGCACAGAAGGTTCCCATAATCCGAATAAAGACGAAACAACTTTTTGGAGTCCAGTGGATAATATGCTGGCCTAAGTAATGCAGGGGTTCTTGGCCATGGGCTGAACCCATAAATATCTAACGGTACTTCGGGTATTTCCTAAAAAATCGTAACTGCCGGTTTCAAAAAGGGAAACTTGATCAGCGATCATCTTAGCCACGGCCAGTGCTCCGGTGCCTCCTGTACGTTCGTCGAGTCGTGCGCGCTATGCCTGGATTCTTAGTAAACCATGGCTCTTGAGATTGGTGGAACTAAACTAGCCCATCTCTTGGATAGATTAACCAGGGGTTTTGTTGCTCGTAGCTTGTCTTCATTCCCCTCCCGTGGCCTGGGCACTGGAGACTAATAGAGCTCAAGTGGTAGCGACTATAAAGGGAGAATGGCCGATAATATGGCAAAAATCCAGACAAGGAGATACAACTCAGCAAAAAATTGACAGACAGCATGTTGTCGAGAAGCCTTCTCTTCTCATCTTCGTTTTTTTGGGCCAGAGTCGCCAATGCGGCCTTTGGGATCACCACATCTGACTCCTCCTATGTCATTGACGCTGGGTCGGCGAACCCTCTCAAATTTACGGTTTCCCGTTCAAGCTGCGATATCACCTCTATCAATTACTATGGCTCGGAGCTCCAGTACTCGGGCACGGGCAGCCACATCGGTTCTGGCCTCGGAAGCGCAACTGTTTCTGCGGTAACAGATGGTGAGTTAACAATACAACAAACTATGTTGACCCTATGTATACTGACATCTTATTTGTCAAGGGGACTACATCAAGGTTACCTGCGACACCGATACCTTGACACAGTATTTCGTTGTCCACAATGGCGACTCGGTCATTCATATGGCGACGTACACCACGGAGGGTTAGTTTACTTCACAACGCAGAAAAGAATTTCCCTGACATTTATCTTAATAAACTCAGAGCCCTCCGTTGGTGAGCTGCGATTCATTGCACGCCTTAACTCGGAGCTCCTACCGAACGAGGAGCCGTTCGGCGATGTGTCCACGACTTCGGGCGGCGAGGCAATCGAAGGCTCGGATGTGGTAAGTGCAAAAATGACGCTAGGAAGTGAAGATCGCTGATGAAGGCTATAGTTCCTGGTAAATGGGGAGACCCGTAGCAAATTCTACTCCAGCCAGCGCTTCATTGATGACCAGAGACATTGTAAGACACATACTCGTTGACTGTAGCGCATGGCTAACCTGCTTCTAGGCATCGCTGGAAGCGCCCACCGTGTTTGTATGATCCTTAACCAATACGAAACTTCCTCCGGTGGTCCTTTCTTCCGGTCAGTACACGAATGTGCAATATAACAAGCCTGCATACTAATCCTAACAGCGATATCAACTCTAACAACGGTGGTGACTACAACTCTCTCTACTGGTACATGGTACGTTTGACATGACATTATACGTCTCAGTTATCTTGCTAACGATGGTAGAACTCGGGCCACGTCCAAACAGAAGACAGACGCCAGGGCCTCCATGGACCATACTCGATGTACTTCAGCCGCAGTGGAACACCCGGCACCGATATTGACACATCCTTCTTCGCGAACCTGGATATCAAGGGCTATGTCGCTGCAGGCGGCCGCGGAACTGTATCCGGAACTGCATCTGGAGCCGACTCCAGCTTCAAATGGGTCGTTCACTGGTACGATATCCGTGTGGTAGTAGCATCTGAACCTGATCTAACGATAAATTCAGGTACAACGCCGACGCCCAGTACTGGACATACACCTCTTCAGACGGTAGCTTCACATCTCCGGCCATGAAACCAGGCGATTACACCATGGTCTACTACCAAGGCGAATATAAGGTAGCCGAGACCACTGTATCGGTCACAGCTGGGTCATCAACAAGCAAGGATATCTCCGGATCCGTTGAAACAGGCGACACCATCTTCAAGATCGGCGACTGGGACGGAACGTACGTATCTTATTTCACCCCTGCTAGCAATAACTGACCTATCACCACCAGACCAACCGGCTTCCGTAACGCAGAGAACCAACTGCGGATGCACCCCTCGGACTCGCGCATGTCGTCCTGGGGTCCCCTTACCTACACCGTAGGCAGCTCCGCGCTCACTGACTTCCCAATGGCTGCTTTCAAGGGCGTCAACGACCCCGTCACCATCAAATTCACGGCCACTTCCGCTCAGACCGGCGCCGCTACCCTGCGTATCGGAACGACGCTTTCGTTCGCAGGTGGTCGTCCTCAAGCTACTGTAAGGAACTCCATTCCAAAACTGACACACATACACATAGACTGAGGACCAAATAAACTAACAAATACCAGATCAACGACTACCAAGGCACCGCCCCCTCTGCACCCACAAACCTCAATTCCCGCGGCGTTACCCGTGGAGCCTACCGCGGCCTCGGCGAAGTCTACGACGTGAGCGTTCCATCTGGAACGATCGTCGAAGGAGAGAACACTGTACGCACCCCTCAATTTCTTTCCCACATTTCCCAAAGGTTCATAACTAACACAACCACCAGATCACAATCAGCGTCATCTCCGGAAGCTCCGGCGATGAGTTCCTTGCTCCTAACTTCGTAAGTGCTTACCTATCTTTTTGGAGTTATTGTCTTGGCTCTGAATTGCTTGGCTAATGGCTTCCTTGCTCTAGATCTTCGACTGTGTCGAGTTGTTCCAGTAAGGATGTGATCGGTGTATCAGTTGAGATTGTACATATTTATTGATGCTGGTTATGAAATGGCCAGCACTCTGTTCATAGTGAAGTAACTAACGGGTCTATCCTTTGTTAATTGGATCATCGCCCCCTTTGAACTCGACATTGTATACAAGGGTTGCTAATTGAACACACCATATGGTTATATAAACACCTAGCAACCCACCTTCAAGCCCTTCCTCCGAAATAGAACAAAAACTAGAACGACTCGACTACTTTCGAATGCCCCGAAGACTACAAAGCCTCATATAGCATCTCAACGTAATACTCACTCATACCAATGTTCCTCCCCTTCCATCAGTATGCTCTACAACAATAACCTAAGCCTACCACAATGATATTTCTACCACTTGAATAAATAGCCACTGCAATATAGTAGACAATCCCCTAGTCTATCATTCTCAGAACCCATTCATCCTCACAGCATACCTCCCAAAACAATATAAACTGCTCAGTTTTACGGGATGATCTGCAGCGGCAAGACAAACCTACCAGCAGGTATGGTCTACAGTTCATAATATTCAGCACATGCTGCCTTGCCCGTTCAGATGTAGATCGTCACCTGGAGTAAATATCTGATTGCGTCAGTCAACACACATTACAGGTTGGTTTATATAGTTGTATATGGCCTCGAGGTAACTATTTTGGCATCATTATCACAGGTCCTCACAGTCTTCTTATAAACGTATATCTTATCGATTTGCTAAAGATGGAATATCATGATATTCTATGTGGTCGTTAAGTACGGTCCGGCGTAGCCAGGGGTCCGTCTAAACAGACAAGTAACAATTCTCTATCTTAAAACCTCAGCCTCCGAAAAGCAGCAACAGCACCAACACCCACAACACCAGCGCTCAATACCCAAGTCCACCAACCAGCCCGAGCCTCACCCTCTACAGCATCCTCCCCATGCACCAGCTTTCCTCCAACCCAGACACCCTTTACATTACGATCGTTACCGCTCCACACCCACTTGTGGATCTTCTCTTCCCACGTCTCCCATCCGAAGACATCAACCTGACTTTCACCACTGTTAGACCGACTCGCAGGCAAGAACCGCCCCAGATGGATCAGCTGCGCATCGAACAGCATGCCGTCGTCGAATCCACCGATATCGTTCTCCATATTGACAGCAGCTGCGCCGCCGCGTGTGGCAAGGTATAAAGCTTCTTCCACGCTCAGCACGAGTTTCTTTCCTTCATCGCCTTCGCTGGCTGGTTCCACATGTCGAAGTAACCGGGATACGAGACAGGCTTGGCGGACGGCTTCCAAGATACTAGGACTATACCCGCCACTAACATCTGTGCCGAGACCGACTGTGATTCCCTTGTCGAGGAGCTTGCGAACGGGACAGATGCCGGATCCCAGGGCGGAGTTTGACGCGGGACAGTGGGAGACCTTGGCACCTCGGTCGTGGATCAGATCTTGCTCGTTGGGTGATAGGTGGACACCGTGGGCGAGGATAGTTCGTGGTGTCAGGAGGCCGTAAGTGTCGTACACGTCGGCGTAGCTCTTGGCGTTTGGGAATTCGCAGTGCACGTCGTGGATTTCTTGTACGTTCTCGGAGATGTGCGTCTGAATGTGTAGTGGGGGTTCGTAGGAAGCGGCTAGGTCCGCTAGACCCCGCATTGCTTTCGGGGTGCATGTTAGCGCAAAGCGCGGGGTGATGATTGGCTTTATCATGGTGCCTTGCGGATCGATGGACTGGATGTACGAGATGACTTCCTTGTTTAGTTCGATGGATTCTTCAGTTGAGGGGTCGATGTAGTAGGGTTCAGAGAAGTTCGGATTATCCATACAGACGCGGCCAATAAGGGCACGTTGGCCGCGTTTCTGGCACAGCGTTGCCAGCAGGTTCGTAGCCGAGACATGAATGGTGGCGTAGTAGGAGGCGAAGGTTGTACCGTTAGCGAGGGTACGGGAGACGACCTGGTTGTAGACCCTGAACGCCCTCGGCGAAGGGAGGTTGGGGAGGGAACTTCCGAATGAGGCTTCCATGGGGAAGGTATACTGCTTTAGCCAGTCAAGGAGGGTAGTGGAACCGAAAAGTCCATTGTTGGGGTACTGAGGTGCGTGGATGTGAGTGTCTAAACTTGTCAGTATTTATATCCACGAATATATGACTACTACACGCCTACTCATCTGAGGCAGAAAATCGAATCACCACTTACCAATAAACCCAGGAAAAAAGAATTCATTATGTTCTTCCCTCGCGCGGACGATCTTTACTCTCGTCCCAGATATATATCGGGGAGCATCCTCCGGGACCCAGCTATTTTCTTTGAGTAGGTCACGTAGGTCACTGTCAGTGATGACAGTCCAGTCGGTACCCTTGATTCGGCCATCGGCGGTGGAAACCCATAAAGCTCCCTGTTGGATAGCAAGGGTCTTCGAGGATGACCGGGGAAGATGTACAAATGTACCGACGAAGACAATATACGCGGGGGCCATGTTGGGATGTCCCTTGGTTCTCTCAGTTTTCAGGGGTACAAACTGAGGTTACGTTGCAATGGGGCCAAGTAGCCAGCTCGAACGGATTAATATGTGACCGGTCAAGGGATAGAAGTAACAAGATACGCTATACGTGTAGGTCGTTTGACTGTGTCCAGACTGCCGCACCATAAGTTAGCATAAGTTCTCTCAAATATGAATAGAATGCCATGGATTCACCTTGGATGCTGATGGGTATGTAAAGGAGAACTACAAGGAACCTGTCATCGGCGGAAGCATGACCGTTAGAACCTTAATCTTATCTACCTTACGGAGCACTGCACCAATGCACTGTACTCCGACGAGATGGTGCTGCGTACGTTTCAACACTTGAGGGAGAAACTGCTTATAAGGTTGAGATTTCATACAACAAGGGAAATGTTGTCATTCTTCAAGGTTGAGCTCGTTCCAGCTCCACAAGGACCACAACCACATCCCAGATTGGACGTGACCTCGGGTCACGGCCGGTTCCGATGCCAAGAGCGGTTTAGTGCGGAGAAGATAAGATAGCCACACGCACGACAGAAGATCCGGTGGGATTCTGACCACTCCCGAGGCTGAGAGAAAGCAATCTTTTACTTAAGAGCTGAGTCGCTGTCTCACGTGCCCTGATAGCAACTTCCTAATCAAGAAACCCCTGATTAGGACAGCCCTTCAGCTCCAGCCCTGATTAATATCAACGTGATCAAGGTTATGCAATGAATAGTTGTAATATCAACCGCTGCTATAGCGGCAAGTCTCATTCGCTTTGCTAAATAGAGTCTTTTTTGTACAACTCAAATGCAAATAGTAACCAGAACGCCCCCGAATGTCTATCATGAATGTTGAATCTTGGCGTCGTGTCACCATCATTATGTCAAACCAAAACTCAAGCAACTAAACATGTGTTGAAAAAATGTATCTCACAGGCGACAATAATAATAAACAAATCAAACATGGGTATCATAGATCTACTCAGTATCCTCCACAGGACCGCAAGTGCAGAACAGGTTTTGGTCACCGTAAGCTGTGGATGTCCAGGTTAGCTTTGCTCCTGATCAAGTAAGATAGAAATTTAGGGGAAACTTACCATCATCCACCCGAGTAACCGAAGGCCAGAACTTCTTCTCCAAAAGGTACGGCAAGGGGTAGGCGGCCGTCTCCCGCGTGTACGGGCGGTTCCACTCATTGGACAAAAGATCGCGCTGAGTGTGAGGGGACATCTTCAGCACGTTGCCCTCACGTGGCTGCGCGCCGCTCTCCACCTCAGCAATCTCCTGGCGAATAGAGATCAGAGCATCGCAGAAGCGATCCAGCTCCGCCTTGCTCTCCGACTCGGTGGGTTCGATCATGAGGGTGTTGGACACGGGCCAGGACATGGTTGGGGCGTGGAAGCCATAATCCTGGAGACGCTTGGCAATATCGATGGCCTCAACACCGCAAGTCTCCTTGAACTTGCGGACATCAAGGATGAACTCGTGGGCACAACGGCCGTTCTCATTAGTGTACAGGATCGGGTAGTGTTCCTTCAGACGGGAGAGGATGTAATTGGCATTAAGCAGAGTGATCTTTGTCGCGTGGGTAAGACCCTTGGAACCCATCATGTTGATGTAGTTGAAGGTGATGGGCAGAATGCTGGCGCTACCCCAAGGAGCAGCGCTGATCGGGGGCGAGGAGGACTCCGTACGCTTAGACTGAAGGTATTCGCTGGCTGGGTGAGATGGCAGGAATGGGCGCAGGTGCTCTGCAACACCGATAGGACCAACACCAGGACCTCCACCACCGTGAGGGATACAGAAGGTCTTATGCAGGTTAAGATGGCAGACATCCGCACCGATCTCGCCAGGAGAGCAGAGACCAATCTGGGCGTTCATGTTGGCACCGTCCATGTAGACCTGTCCACCATACTGGTGCACGATCTCACAGGCCTTCTTGACACCAGGCTCGTACACACCGAATGTGCTAGGATAGGTGATCATAACAGCGGCCAGCTCATCCTTGTGCTTCTCGCATTTGGCCTTGAGATCTTCAAGGTCCAAGTTGCTAGTCTTGGTGTCACACTTAATGGTAACAACCTTCATGCCAGCCATAGCGGCACTAGCGGGGTTTGTTCCGTGGGCAGACACGGGGATTAGACAGATGTTGCGCTTGGACTCGCCCTTAGCCTCCAGATACTTCTTGACGACACGCAGACCCGCAAATTCACCCTGGGCACCCGAATTAGGCTGGACGGTGACTTCAGCCATACCGGTGATATCGGCGAGTTGCTGTTCCAGATCATCAATCATCTGGGTGTAACCCTTGGCGACATCTGCAGGCAGGAAGGGGTGCATCTGGGAGAACTCAGGCCAGGAGATTGGGATCATCTCGGTGGTTGCGTTGAGCTTCATAGTGCAAGAGCCCAGAGGGATCATAGAGTGAGCCAGAGACAGGTCCTTGGACTCCAGGTGGTGGATGTACCGGAGCATTTCTGTCTCCGAGTGATGGGTGTTGAATACCGGGTGAGTCAGATATTCCGAAGTCCGCTCAAGGCTGGCCGGAAGAGGGGAGATACCGAGCTCTCCATCAATGGACACATCACCCTTGGAGGCATGAGAAGCAAACACCTGCAGAATGGACTTGACCTCTTCCCGTCCGCTAGTCTCATCCAGAGAGATACCGACCTTGGTAGAGTTCACGCGACGAAGGAAGATAGACTGTTCGCGGGCAGCAGCGATAATGGCGTCCGCATCTTGGCTGGTGGGCAACTCTACGGTAACGGTGTCGAACACGGCACCGCCATCGGCGACGTTGGTCTTGATCGGAACATTGTAGCCGAGAGCAGCAAGCTTCGCCTGCAAAGTTGAAGTCATGGACATGATGCGTTGAGCAATGGATTTCAGACCAGTCGGACCGTGGTAAACAGCATACATAGCGCTCATGTTGGCGAGAAGTGCCTGGGCAGTGCAGATATTGCTGGTGGCTTTCTCACGGCGAATATGCTGCTCTCGTGTCTGGAGAGCCAATCTTAAAGCACGGTTGCCAAGGCGATCTTTGGAGACACCCACAACACGGCCAGGGACCTTACGCTTGTACTTGTCTACACAAGCAAAGAACGCTGCATGGGGACCACCGTATCCCATAGGGACACCGAATCTCTGGGCATTACCGAACGCGATATCAGCTCCAAACTCACCGGGTGCCTTCAGGACGGTCAAGGCCATCAAGTCCGTGGCGACGCTGAAGGTACCGCCGGCACCATGAATGGTGTCACTCAAAGCCTGGAAGTCATAGATGCCACCCTCGGTATCCGGATATTGAGCAAGCACACCAATGAGGTTGTCGCCTTGTTCCTTCACCAACTTGAAATCATCCGCCAGAACATCACCGATAACCAGGTTAATGCCGAAGCCCTCGGCGCGCGACCGCATCACGGCGATTGTCTGAGGGTGGCAAAGGTGGGAAACAACGTAAGCCTTACCGGGCTTCTTCTGTTTCGAAGCAGGCATAGTAGCAAAAGACATGGTCATCGCCTCGGCAGCAGCAGTGGCTTCGTCCAAAACGGAAGCATTGGCGAATGGCAAGCCCGTCAAGTCGGCAGTCAATGTTTGGAAGTTCAGGAGAGACTCCAGACGACCCTGGCTGATCTCAGGCTGGTAGGGGGTGTAGCTGGTGTACCATGCGGGGTTTTCCAGAACATTGCGGAGGATCACTGGAGGCACAATTGTGCCGTAGTAGCCAGTTCCAATATATGTCTTGCCAGAAACATCGATTTGCTTCCGGTAGACATCCAAGAGCTTCAGCATATCGGTCTCTCCGAGACCACCGCCCACATTGTCCCGGTACAGATTCGTTTTGGCGTGAGGATCGGTAACCTTCAAGTCCTTCTTGGACAGAATGTCTGCGGGAAGCACCTGTTTTACAAATTCGTCGAGAGACGCCACTGGGGGGTCAAGGGTGGCCAGCATGTCCTTTGCGGCATCTGGCGAAGGGCCGATATGACGTCTGGGGAAGGTGTCAAGGGGCTGGAAGAGGTCGCGTGGATGAGGGTCACCATGGTCAGCTACTGAGCTTGTGTAGACCGGTCGTCGTGACGGCTGCTGTGTAGCTGTGTGCAGGGCGCGGTAGGTTGCGCGGAAGGGAGAGGACGGAGAAGCTCTGCGGAGTGCGATGGGGGAAGGGGTAGAGTGCAGGCGAGTCCGAAGAGCAAGCTGGCGAGAGCCACGGAGGGCGCACCAGGATGCAGCCATTGTGATAAGTGTGAGAGGCCAACGGACTGCGGTGTTCAATGGGTTTGGCTAAGCCAAGGGATAGGAATACGTGCTGATCTTAGTAAATCCCCGGCGATAGCTCAACACATGAGACAGTAGGAGGTTGGATAGATGAGGGGAGAGGAATACAATGAAGAACAGGAAGACAAGATTTAAAAAAGAAAAGAACGCAAGAAGGCCCTAGGGAAAAACTTATCCAGCAAAGTCATACAATCTATGGATTCCTTCGGCCGGCAAGGAAACCGCGGGCGATACGGACAATCACGGAAAACTGTCGATAACCCGATAACGCTGCCGCCCGAGCCAATGATTACACGACAGTACTCTGCGGTCCCTTGGGAAGTTGCCCCGCAAGCGCGCCAGTAAACCGCGCTTGGCTTCTCCGCGACCGATAAGAGATTATTTTCCCGCGGGAAAGTCTTAGCTTATGGTCTTGGTCAAAAGACGCGGGGTCGGAGATTTCTGTATTTCTTCCTGTTGTCTCTACCTCGAATAGCTTTATTATAGTATTCTTTGGTTATTACGAGTTTTGAATCGAAATGCGTTAAATCGAACTGAACATGTCAATACAATATGGATACAGCTTTGATTGCTAATCTGAGCAGCGCTCGATTCTCCAGAAGAGTCATACAGGAGACCCTCCACAGGTTCTTTCCGATCCGATGTGGTCCAAGCTCGGAAGCAACAGTCGGGCTATTTATACATGCTATGACTAACGAGGGACTGTAACTAGTTAAGTTACAGTGTACAGTGTACACGATATGGACGGTCTGGACCCGCCATCTCGATATTTGTGCTATGCGGGGTTTTACAACGATTCACTTTGTGCGACCAGGTTTATCCCTCGAGGCCCTAAATAAAGAACAAAGCACATTGTCGGTACTCGAACGCAACATTGCTCAATACCTCTGCATATTTATCATCGGCTAAATAAACCACTCGTTGAGATATATACAATGATAACGAAGGAGATAGCCACCGGAAGAGAAAGGAGAAAAGGAAAAAACAATAATCAGTGTTATGCGCTAAATTATATCGTATACCGAAACTCTGGAGACCCCTCGATGACGCGCTCCCCACGGTCCGCTTCTCTGTTTGACCGGCGGAACCACAAGCTCAGAGAGGCCACAATTATTAAAATGAGGATATTGCTTCTGCAGGGCGCTTAGTAACTCAATGCGGCCAAAGCTTGACTTGAGAAAGGACAAGTACTTACGCAATAGTAGTCCACATGCCCGGTCGGTATCCAGGTGCATCTTGGGACCTAAACACCAAGCTACTCACAATTCCTCCGATACCACCAAAACCCACCAACGTAGCACTAGATAATGCACGGGTCCATTGACCACGAACGTTGTTCGCTTGATATGCCATACAAGCTGGGATGTTGGAGTTGGCACCGGCCACGGAGAAGAATACGCCCACGTACCGCGCAGCATTGCCTTTCGCAAAGCCCATAATGGGAAGTCCGATGAGACAGAGTAAGGCATTGAAGATGACGATTGCTCCTCGTAGACGATATTTGTCACCAATCCAGGCGGTTGCGTACATTACCATTCCGGCGAACACATAGGGTGGCGCAATTAAACATTGTGCGGCAGCGGTACTAAACCCCATACCCTGTTCAAGAATGATCGGAAGGAAGTATGCGATGGCATACGTGACAGTCGTAGTGCAGCTGTTGCATGTTAGGGCATTGCTGAGAGAACGAAATGCATTCGGCACGCCTTACAAGAATATCATTGCAAAACCCCAGATCTTCAGGTCGAGGGCAGGTGACAGGAAGCGCTTAAGAGAGAAGGGCTCCTGGTCTCCATCGGAACGATCTCGGTTGATACGGCGGACGATGAACGCGCACTCTTTCTCACTAAGAAACCTCCAAGACTTGTGCGCCTTATCGGGGAAGTCCACTAGAAAGATGATGGTCAGGATGCCAATCAGCCCTGTAATCTACTAGGATTAGCAATTGAGTTCGTTTAGGGAAGAAGCGTACATACCACGCCTTCCATGATAAAAATCCATCTCCAGCCCTCCAGATCCTGAAGCCCGCCCATCTGCATCAGCCCAAAAGCTAGAATACCAGACAATGCCGACGCCACGCAGCCGATCAAGTAGAATACCGAGAACCGTTTTTGCACGTCAACTATCCCTGTCAGTGCTTGGGAGTAGCTCGTATTGTAGGTTTATACTCACACCGAGTGTACCAGCTAGACAAAAGATATACACAACCGGGAAAGTAACCTATATCGAATCTGATTAGCTCTGTATTGCCAGGCATTGGATTATTGGGTTTGGGGAGATTACCTGCTTCAAGTATACCCAGCAGTGCACGGGTTGCGACCATATGTTTCCAATTCTTTGCGAACCCCATGCCCTTTGAAACAATATCAATAGGTTGTTCGATGGTGATCATTCACCCACCAGTGTGTTGAGCGACTTACAACTAGTATTGCCCCCCAAAGAATGACGATCGTTCCCAAGAAGTAGGTAGGGCCTACCTTCCGTGTTATAATTGTCATAGGTGGCTGGAAGATCACGTAGGGAACGAAGAAGATGAGGACCATAACGGACTACTGATGTTAGCAACAGGCTCAAAATGTATGATGAGAATGTTCAGACACACATATCGAGTTCCAATTGTCAGGCCTAGGTCCTTGGTCATGCTATGGGCGATCAATCAATGAATCATCCAATTGAGGAGATGTCCCACTACACCGGGGAAGCTTACCCCGCGACAGCAGCCATGCTCAGATTTGTCCTGTCCATGAGGGACACACAATATGCTAAACCGGTAATGGTGACAAGGCGTCTATCCACCCGGTGGATAATCTTACGCTGCTCTGCGTATGTGTATTCTTCGTCGTAGTCAACATCATTCAGGGCAGGTTGATTGATATCTTCAATCCTGGTGTCTGCACCAGGATCCTTTTCGCTGCTGGGATATGACATGACTGATTGATTGTTCGCTCCTCAAGTGCGTTCTGGGAGCAAAGAAGGAAGGGTGGTGGGGTGTCGAGAGGAAGAGGGGCACAGAGGACAACCGCGCAGATATAGGATTATATAGAGGCAGTCTGGTGTGTTTGTCTCATATTCAGCACCCAGTTAAACTTTTGAACACAATTACCTCTTCAGTGTGTCACCCGTTAGTTGCACAACACCGGACGGTGAAGACCCATTGAAAAATGCGCTATAGACGCCATCTTTCGTGCCACCAGGCTGGAGGCGACAGCAAACCAGGATAGCCGACTTGAAATCGCCATATTACCTCGGCCTTGGGAAACAGATCGCTATCTCAATTGGAAGACAGTGACCTCCCCACATTTCCCCAGCTTTTTGTGCTCGAGAAAGTGGAGTGAAAATGATGCGGGGGTGTTGAGCGATTGACATCAGGACTTACTTGGCAGCTTGGCATAGTACATCCAGCTATCCTCATTCGCTCTGGGATCAGACACTTTGCTGGAACCTCCGGAGTCGCCGTGCGAGCAGTCGAGATCTCGGAGACATCCCAACACTTGTTTTCTGCGTCTGGCTCTTTGTTCTCTGGATCGCATGGTTCTTCCGACACCAGCACGACGGCACTTCTTCCACTGGGTCATTCACCAGAAACCCCGTATCATCCCGCGTGGTCAAGGATTGTGGCTGGATGCGGGCCAATCCCAGGCCAACGCCCAGATAGGTTCGAGACTGGACTATCTCGGAACTAAAATTCCAATGTGGAGGATCCATATGCGCGGATTAACTCCGTGTCCTGGTCAAAACAAATCTCGGGGGAATTTAGACTTTTAGCTTGCGTCTCGTGGAAACTCTCGCAGAAACTCTCGCACAGATCACACCTCGTCAAGATTAGCTCATACAGTTCGAAAAAGATTGAAGAAATATCAACGAAAACAGTACTCGAGCATCTTGCTTATTGTTTTCGGCCATCGTCATAGGCCTCCCAGCCCGTCTTAGAATGGGGCGTGGGTTGATTGGGGGAGGGCTAAGCTGACTCAGGTGAGCAGCGAGACGTCGAATGAGATATACTCTTCATGGGGGATGTCCGTGTGCATAGTATGGTGTACGCCGTATTGGGCTTGCTAGGATTTCGTTAGTAGATACGCCTAACGGCCCTAAGAATCTGAGCAAAATCCTTTGAATCTAGCTTCGGCTCTACAAGTCTCTACTGTGGAGCTCAGATGTCTGCCTAGGAATTCAATTGGGAGATGACTCAGTATAGGGTCAATCGACTTGTTCGGTCTGTCTATGTTTTACCATCAATAGCTGCATTGTAAAGAATAGCCGGTGGTGCCCGGGTGGCGTCCTTCTTCCAACAAGCCAAAGTGCAAGACAACCGCATTTACTGCTTTCCTTCCCCAATGTGAAAACATGCTAGGTAGGTCATTACTGCCACATGCATCGTGACAATACATTTGTGAGGTACGAAGTAGCTTTGGCTAGAAAGCTTTCAAAGCGGGGCAGGGATGGCACGTAAGGTTTGATAGCACCAGGGTTTCTGATCCAAGTATATAAAACCTCACGTAATCCAGCATGCAGGGATTCCAAGCTAACTCCACAAGCATCGTTTAATTTCAGTGGGTGGCATGGTTCTGCAATAAAGAGCCTCGGCTCAGCCCTGCCATACGTATCGAAATATTTTATGATTGGTTTTCTATAAGTTTGGTTCAAGGTCAGCCGCCCTTTGATTGGGATCGTTTCATTCCATTAGTTAACCTACTCGCCACAGTATATGTGTAAAGGTCATCACGCTTCAGTGCCTCCCAACAATGCTTGGAGATTAAGCATTGGTAGCTCAAGTCAGCTATCTACCTGGGGATACTGTTGATATACTCAATGCCATCCTCTCGGTATGTGTCAGCCTCGATATAACTTCCATCCTTAGGCAGGCGGAACACGAAGTTCGATGTTTCCTGAGAATACTGCGGCCATACGGGAATATTTGCAACTGCGTATGTTAGATCTCTACATTTATCTCATATACA